AGCACGGGTTCCCACCCACTTCTCACTGCAGCTCATCTTATGCCACCCAAGGATGCAAATTCTGAAGACGTGTGATCAAATTATCCCCGCCAGTTCCCCCCCTGCTCTTTGCCTTTCTGCACGGCAGTGTCGTTGATGGAACAGGCAGAAGGAAGGGTCAATCTGCTGCCTCCTCCACCCTCCCAGGCCCAGGCTGTGACACCAGAGCCGTTCTCACCACAACCCTTCTGAAGCACACGCTGAGCAAGCCAGGGAACGCTCCCGACTCTGCTCACAGAGAAGCAAAACTGGAGGTGATCCTCCCCCCCTCCCCCCCAATTTTCACGACATCACCAAACCAAGACCTGTTTTTTCAGAACACAAACAATACCTATAATCAAAGAGAAAACCCTGCTGGGCTCCTTGCCAGTTATTTTCTTATACAGTTGTGGGTAATAAAGCTCAAGACTCTCCAGAAATGCTTCAAAGCCTTTGCGGCCCGTTCGCTGAAGAATGTCCAGAAGAACACCTGAAATAACAGCAATAGGACGTTCTGTTCGCTTATTTATCTCTTTAACTACGTTTAACATAACAAAAAAAATGCTCCGCTTTCTCCACACGCAGGAGAAGTTCCCTGGGATGAAATGCCTGGACAGAATGGAAGCGTCTCCAGAGGTGAAGGCTGCACCTCACCCACCTGCTTTCCGTTTGCGTATGACCAGGCTGGGGTCATTAAGAACTTGTTCCTCATCATCGTGGCTGATCACTTTGCACTGGCGAAGGTAGGGGGTTATGCGGGAAGGATCTATCACAGAGATCAACTTCACTCGGAAGTTCTCCAGGTTATTCCAGCACGTCTCGTCGTTATCTTCCTCCAACATGTTGGCAAGGGAGAAGTATTAGTGAGCTGCGTCGTCCTCTCTTGAAAAAAAACAAACCAAAAAACAAACAAGCAGACTCTAAGCCTCTGAGAGTAGCAAGGAGGGTGAAAATAAGAGTATTGATGGGCTGAGAATGGAAAAGTATCTTTTAGACGGAGTAAGACATCTCCCATGTGGTCTTTAACTTGCAAATCACCTGCAGAACACGGCAATACATGAAAGAAAACAGGGTAGCAGGCTGGAGGTATCAGCAGCTGAGGCTGGTGCCAACGCTGCTGGCACAGACGTGAAGGAGAGCTAGTGTGAAATTCTGAAGAAACCAAAGTCACCAAAGCTTGATGATCTCCCTCCAAAAAAAATGCTGACCATGTCCCAGATGTCACCACAAGAAAGTGAAGCTATTTTGCAATAAGTCCACTGGCGATAAGCAAGTCACTGAGAGCCCCCTGAGTAGGGGAAGATCTGTTGAACTCTACATTCCCAACAGTGCACCCCAAGAAGGTGCTGTTGAATCCCACCACAACTTTCCGTTTTGAAACTAAGCATCCTCTGAAGAAGTGAAAACATCTTTAAAACTCTCCTAAGTCACCGTTGCCTTTGCTTTACAAACAGTTGACG